TCCTCCCCCTCCAGGAGATGTGCTTCATTCCGCTGCCTGCGCAGCAAATCTCACACTGCGGGTTCCTGCTGAGAGCTCTGCTTCCATCCCCTGACTATAGTGACTTTACCTGAGGCCAAGGAGGGCTGGAAGCAGTTCCCTGCATGTCCCGCAAAGAGCAGCCTGTTCTGCAAGGCCAGGTAGGAATTCCAGCTGCTCCCTCCAGAGGTAGGATGCTCTGCCCTGGCTCAGGAGAGAGCAGCTACAGATCGAAGTAGTAAGCTTTCTGGTTGGTTCAGGAGCAGCGACTGGTTGCAGAAAGAGTCTTGGCTGGAGCGGTATCTTGAAACCAAAGAGTGTTAAGATATGAGAGTGTCTGACCACCCAACTTATGCATGCACACAGTAGCACGGAATTATAGTAGCATGGGGGGAGGGATAGCTCAGTGGTTTGAGCATTGGCCTGCTAAACCCAGGGTTGTGAGTTTAATCCTTGAGGGGGCCACTTGGGGATCTGGGGCAAAATCAGTACTTGATCCTGCTAGTGAAAGCAGGGGGCTGGACTTGATGACCTTTCAAGGTCCCTTCCAGTTCTAGGAGATGGGATATCTCCAGTAAATTAAATTAAAAAAAACTTTGCATAACTAGGATAGACCAGACTCCTCAGGGACAGGGGAGGTCTGCCAGAGATGTTATGCCCCATGTATTTGAAATAAGTTATAATGATAAACTTGTGTGGGGTAGAGAGATTATGTATTTTAAAACAACTCATCAGGCTAGCAATACAGGATGTAGACAACCTTTCTCTCAGACCTATATAGAGAGTGTTTGGTGTGCAAGGAAACTTAGAAGATGAGCCTCCTAGTCTTTAGTCATTCTCACTGAATCAGGTGGCACTGGCTCCGAAGGCAAGTCAGCCTTTTCCAAGAATTGGGTGTCTAATCTATTAGCTGTCTTGATTTGTAGCTTCTGTCAAGATATCCTTCTGTATTTCAGGTTTCATGCACTGTAGGTTTTGTCTTAAACACTGCATTATATTTAATGTGATTCCTGGGATATAATATCCTAAAGAGCAGTGGTCCCCAACCTTGTTGGTGTGGCGGGCGCCAGACAACAAGCCACCGAGGACTGTGGCAGGCGGAAAAGCATCAGCCAAAATGCTGCTGAGAAGCAGCGTCATCAAGAGGCATTGCTTCTTGACGCTTTTCAGCGGCATTTCGACGGATGCTTCTCCGCCTGCCAGTACATGGGCATACATAGATGCCCTGGCAGGCGCCATGGCACCCGCAGGCACTGTGTTGGGGACCACTACTAAAGAGAATATATTGGATAAGGACAAAATTACTTCACCTCTCTGGCTGTTCTACTCCTGGGGGAATTCCATGCTACTGTGTGCACGCATAATTAATAAGTGATGCATATTTTTAATTTTTTTGCACAGAAAAAAGCTTCTGCTGAAAAGTTGCTGCAGTTCTGCTGTGACAATAGAACACAGCAGCTTCTCCCAGCCAGCTAGGGAAGAGAGCCTTCTTTGCAGTGCCTGTAGGGCCAGGTCAGGAGACAGGCAGTGTGGGGCTGCTGGGAGGGGTCAGACAAGGGCTCATAAGGACTAGTGGGGGAGGACAGACTGGGGCAGAGGCTGAATGGGAGTGGAGGTGCAGGGCCAGATGGGGGAGGAGATGCAGAGCTACAGGAAGGAATGGGGGCGGCTGAGTGGGGGCACAGACATGTGGGGACGGGTGCAGGGCTACAGGGGGATGGGACAAAGGTGTGTCTGAGTGGGGATGGAGGGACATGTGGACAGGGGGTGCAAGGACCCATGGGGACAGGGGGAGATGTGCCTAACTGAATGAGAGGCTAGGGGTCAGCCAGGATCTGCATGGGGGAAGCTCCCTAACAGTCCCCTCCCCACCCAAAAAACCTGTTCCATACTTTTCACACCCACACCCGACAACCCTCCAAATTTCCCATCCCAGCTCCTTCCCAGCATTTACTTCCCTCTCCCTCAGCTCCTCCATTACCCCAAACTCCCCCCAGCCTTTGCACTGCTTCTAAGGGGTGTGGGAAATATGGTTCTATATTGTAGTTTAAATGAATTATTACTCAGTTCTGTATTATGCTTAGTAAGGAATCTATTTGTCAAAACATTTTCTGAATCTTTTTTGTTTGTATTGTTACAGACATACCAACAGGACAGGTATTTTGAAATAAATTCAGAATAATTGAAACTGGTGTGATTATATTGTTTTGACAAATAAAATATGCAGAATTTGAAAACGTGTGCAGAATTTTAAACTTTTTTGGTGCAGAATTCCCACAGGAGTATTGGTCAAAATGGTCTTAACTACAGACCTTGGAGCACAGCAGAAGATCAGCCTCCTAAGAAAATCCAGACACACCCCTACAGAGTGGGGTGAATGTTGTCATGGCTCACTGTCACATTTCAGTCAAGCTCTTAAAGGTCACAAGTTTCTAGTTCTGTTACATCTATCCTGATACCTTTATTTCTACTGACCTTAAATCCAGGAAACACTAGTATTGAAATTGTTCCAAGTTGGTTGCTAACAAGACACCAGGATGTGTCTTTTCAGTCTTAAACTTTGTTCTTCCTGTGTCAGGTCTGGTTGTTCAAGGTGCTAAACGCAGTCAAATGCACCACCGCATGCCTAATATTTCAGAATGTACTAACTTTTTCCTTGGCAGGATGGAGATGCAATTAAGAAGAAGCCACATCCCCCAGACCTAGGGAGCAGCAGGAAGTGCCAGCAGTTGCTAATGGAGCTGGAGGGAGTGTTCCGGCACTTGGAAGCCATGTTCAACCTGACATTGGTCCCTCGGGTCCTTATTCTAGTTGGAGGAAATGCCATGAGCCCCAAGGAGCTCTATGAGATCAACTTGGAGGGCATCTCTGTGGGCAATGCTGAGGAGAGCCTGCAAACACCATCCTGTGTTCGTAAGCTTTTCCACTCACTCTTCCTTGCAGACGTCTTCAGTGAGCTACAGGCTGTCCCTGTCATGGGAACCATTGTCATGGTCCAAGGCCACCGTGACTGTGGCATTGACTGGTTCCGACCCAAGCTCAACTACAAAGTGCCAACACGCGGGAGGAAGCTGACTGTCAACTTGTCCTGCGGTGGAAACAGCAGTACAAATTCATCTTCTCAGCAGGGAGCGACCTCTGTCTGGGACAACTACATATGGTTCCAAGCACCAGTGACAGTTAAGGGCTTCCATGAATGACTCTTGCTCTATAGCATTTTAATGAGACATTTTAAATAATCATCTGGTGCTACTTTAGTTGATACAAAAGAATGTTTTTTTTTTTAATGATCTGTAGCTACACCTCTCTGAATCCTATATCCAGGGAATCTGCTACCTGCATGCAGCTGGGGTGTGTTCCACTGTCCATACAACAGAGCTTTAAATATCCTCATACCAGGGGGAAGCACTAGAACAGTTTTGCCCACAGATGTAGGTCTCTTGGGGGAACTGATTCAGGAAGAAGGAATTCCCTAGAGGGTTGGTGGGAGTAATTTTATGTTTGTGCAGCATGCCCACTTACCCAGTCAATACTTGAAGCAGCCTTTTCTGAGAGTATCATGGGGTTCACACAGCTGTTCTCCTCTACTTGCTGATAAAGTAGTGTACAATGTTAATGGATGAATTGGGATTTGATTAATTGGTATTTATGCTTAATATGGGGGTGACAAGGGCAATCTAGCAGGTAATACTAAGCCACTCAGGATCTCATCTCCTCCTTTATGGCCTGGTAATACCATGAAAACAGAGGGAGGGTGGGGGGTTGCATAGCTATAAGAAGAATCAGTTGAGGGATGTTCTAAAGAGGGAGACCTCTAACTATGAAAGAGGTCTTCTGCCCAGCACTGCTTTTTCTATACTTGTGGAAGAATGGATGTCTGAACAATGCCACTTGCACCCAGGGTGAGAGGGCTCTGAATGTTTTAAATTTTCCAGTTATCAGTGAAACCATATAAATAATTCATGTTTCATTTCTATGAATGGCTGAGGCTCTTCACTTAAACTGCACAGCATCTGATGCCCTAGTTTAAACTAGAAATCTCTTCAAGCTTGTGGATTTCACCTTATAGCCCTTTCTGTTCCTCCCTGCCCCAATTCAGTAAAAGGCTAGGGGTTTGTAAAGCTACAGGAGTTTCTCCACTTGATTCATGCTGTTCTTCCCCTATATAAGTTGTTACCCATTCTAAGTTTTGTTACAGAACTAGCATACCTATCACTATCCTCTCCCTATTCTGTTCTAAAAGGAGATGGAGTATTTCCATTCCTAACCTAAAGTAACAGCACAAACTTGAGTGCAGTTACTGAGAAACTGGAAGTAAGGGCAGTAAAGTGCCTTAGAAAGGGTAATACCTTGCATGTGACCTAGGAGCATAAGGAGGAGTCATGGAAGATGGGTGAGATTCCAGAGGACTGGCAAAGGACAAATATAGTACCCATCTATAAAAAGAGGAATAAGGACAACATGGGGAATTACAGACCAGTCAGCTTAACTTCAATCCTGGAAAGATAATTGAGCAAATAATTAAGCAGTCAGTTTGCAGACACCTACAAGATAAGTAACAGCGTGAATTTGTCAAGAACAAATAGTATCAACCAACCTAATAACTTTCCCAAAGTAACAAGCCTTGGGAACGGGGTGGGGGGGAAGCAGTAGATGTGGTATATCTTGACTTTTGGCTTTTGATACTGTCTTGCATGAGTGTCTCCAACTAGGCAAATACAACCTTGCTGGAACTACTATAACGTGGGTGCATAACTGGTTGGAACTTAGAGTAGTTACTAGTGGTTCACAGTTATGCTGCAAGGATCAGGTCTGGTTCTGTTTACTGTTTTCATCAATGATTTAGATAATGACAGAGTACATTTATAAAATTCATGGACGATACCAAGCTAGGAGGTGTGGTAAGTGCTCTGGAGGATAGGATTAACATTTAAAATGAGCTAGCCAAACTGGAGAAATGGTCTGAAGTAAACAGGATGAAATTAAATAACAGTATTCCACTTAGGAAAGAACACTCAGTTGCACATGTACAAAAGGGGAAATGACTGCATTGGCAGGAGTACTACAGAAAGGGATCTGGGGGTCAGTGGATCACAAAAACGAATTAGCAGTATAACACTTGCAAATGTATGCTGGGATGTATTAGCAGGAGGGTTGTAAGCAAGACATGAGAAATAATTCTTCTGCTCTATTCTGCATTGTGTAGGCCTCTACACTTCAAAGGAAAGAAATGGACAAATTGGAGAAAGTCCAGAAAAGAGCACCAAAACTGATTAAAGGTCTAAAAAACATGACCTATGAGGGAAGGTTGAAAAAAATTGTGTTTGTTTAGTCTGGAGAAGAGAAGACGGAGAGGGAACATACCTTTTTCAAATACAAAAAAGGTTGTTACAAGGAGGAGGTCCCCAAACTGTGGGATGCATCTCTCTAGGGGGATATGAAGGAACATTGGGGGGGGGGCGTGCAGCAGGGCCCAAGCCAACCCCCATGGGGCAGGGAGGGAGTCCCATGAAGACCCTTTCCAGTCCAGCCGTGGGCCCAGCCTCAGCCCCTGGCCACAGCTCTGCTCCTGCCCCCAGCCATAGCCCCAGCTCTGGGAAGGGGGTATGACACTGAAAAGTTCGGGGACTACTGCTATGTGAAAACCTTGGGTTCAGTTCCCCCCATGCCTGATGTGGAGTAGGATTTAAACTGGGTATCCCACTTCCCACAAGAGTGCCCTAACCAGTGGTCTAGGGGATGTTCTAGTGTAGGGCTCTCTGTCACTCCTGTTGAAGCTGTTCACTGGGTGTAAATAATTAAAAATACACTGGGCCAGTGAGTGAGAAGGATTGTGTAGTCCAAGGGCTATAGCACTCTCCTGAGAGGTCCCTGTTCAAATCTGTTCTTCACTTCAGGCAGAGGAAGGAATTGAAGCTGGGTCTCCCCTATCCTGGGTGAGTGCCCTAACAGCTATAGAGAGACTGAGTGGTCAGTGCTGTAACATACAACAAATGCACTGATCTACAGTGAGGCACAATTATTGTAAATGAAGTTGGAAAGCTGCCTTCTTGCGCAGGGCTATCCAGACCTTGTGGTTGAACGGTGCATTCTAACATGCTGTGCTCTCTGACCTTTGTGGCACAGTTTGCCATATGATGCTCTGTAGCCATCCAGGAAGGTGGTCTTGGACGCACATGCCTGGAAGAGTGAGACCTTCACACCTGTCACTTCCACTTCAGCTACTGAACCCAGGTCAAGTCACTCTAGAGATGAAGACAACTTGGGTGGGCTTTTCTGTGGAACCTGCTGCCCTTGCTCAGAAATAGGGGGCCATTTTATCCTTAAACTGCCAAAGTGCGGTGCAATGTTGTCACACGTTAAACAGCAACCACCCATTCTCAGGATACAGCAGGAGTTTGCCCTCAAAAATGCTCCTAGAATGAAATAGGACAAAATACGCCTACCTTTCAGTGGGAATTTAATGGTTATTTTTAAATTAAAAGCTCTAGAAATTGATTTTTAACCACCTGGCATTTTTTTGAGGCTGATAGCTGCAGCTACCAAGCAAATGGATATTTGGCTTTATAAAGTGTTATCAGAAATGCAGTTATTAATTACCTCAGGCTGGTGGTCTAGCAATGTGCGCCCATTTATCTGTGCATACTGCCTCCCGCTTGCTCATGGCTCACAGATGCTCCACCTTTCTGACCAACTGCCTGATATCCTGTGCCAGGAGTTCTGGTTCCTCGAAGGCAGCAAAATGCCCCCCACGTGGCATGTAGGAGTAGACCACTATGTTCTTGAACAACTTCTTTGCCCAGGAGTGTGGGCAATGTGCAAGCTCCTGGGGGAAAGCAGCAATGCCAGTGGGTACGTACACTCCAATCCTAAAAAAAAAAAAAAAAAAAAAAAAAAAAAAAAAAAAAAAAACCCAAAATCCCGTTAGGAGCTTTTTAAATCAGTGCGTGTTCTTTGTGGAGGGAGATGTTATTTAAAGCATTTGGTTCGCTTATCAATACAATGTCAGATAATCAAGCTCAATCAGATCTATTCACCAAAGAGCATTAGTTCAAGATTAATCAGCACAAATACAGAAAGATAGGGGTTAAATCATTACTACTCCATCGATGTAGGAAACAATCCACAGTGCAATCTGTTCTGGAAAAATATATACTCACTACTGAGTAGCATGTATACCTTAGTATATTACTGTGACAGAAAACTCTCCAAATTTGTTTGTATCAGGAGTACCCTAATATTTCTTTCCCATGCAGTCTGCATTGGTTGTTCAAGGTTACTGGAATTCTGTACGCAGTTTGTTGCAACAATTCAACCAGTTTGCCTATTAGTCTCACAAACCTCAGCAGAACAGTTATCTTGTTCTTGACGATCTCTACCTGTGCCAGGAACAAGAGTTCATATATTGCAGTTTAATATATTTCAGTACAGAGCATACTGGGAAAAATGGCTCACTAATACTTCTTCGTATGGGTGATATAGATTTAGAGCACCAACTATCATTTTACATTCAGATGGTTAAGCCAAGAGTAGCAGAGACTGTCGCTGCTTCATATCTGTGAATTGGGCACTGAGTTGTATGTTCCATGGTCTGTTCTGGGTGATAATTTTCCAATTTGTGCAGCAAGTATCCTCATCTGCCATGGTTTGTGCGGATGCGGTTTAGGGTTGCCCATGAACTTCGCAGGAGATCAAAGCCAGGGATCGTCTGCATCAGGTCTTTCATGAGGTGTTTGTGACTTCTTGTGAACTCCATTCAACCTTTCAAGCTTCATCAGAGTTGAAGTTGCATTGGCGAAGGTTAAACGCGTGTGTCCAAAAGGGCTTACACGACTGCGAGCAGGGGTGAGGAATGTTTGTTAAGGTCCTGATGGATGGGGAGACATTAGTTTTCCATGATCCACTACAATTCCCAAAGGGTAGTGGCATCATGACGAATGGATGGGGGAGCAATGTGCAACAGCACCAGCAGCAAAGGTGTTGGGCTCAACTTGAGGGTTCCAGTGATATACCGCACTGCAGTATTCAGTTAGACATCAACAAGTTGAGTGTAGCTACTTCTGGTCCATACCACTGCACGGTATTTGCTTCACTTTAATATAGTTATAAATCCTTTTTAGAAATGCATACTATTGGCCAACAATTTTGTCCAACAGTCCCCCATGTTGTACCCAGCCACAAAGACAAATGGAATGATTGGCTGAGAATCTTGTTTGAACCCAAGCTAAGCTCTCAAGTAGGTTAAAGCTGTTTTGATTCTCTGTAGCTGGAAATTTGAAGGGTAGTAGAAATGTAAGTGTCTAACCATTATATGTCTGCCTTGTGGTCAATTGCAATTGGACTAGTGGCAAATTAAAATAACTTGCCTCGTGTTTTAAAAACAAAAACAAAAAAACCCCCTGTAGATCATAAATCCGATTGGCCCAGTGTGAGCAGACAGGCCTGGTGACCCTGGTATGGTGAGTTTGCCTTTCTATATGTATGCTGTCATATCTTTAATTAAGGCAACTTGACATCATAAACCAAATTGAGCTGACTATTCAATGGTATAAATCGAACCTTACATTTGTTATACACTGAGGACAATACCATTTAGCTAATTGTTTGTCACTGATTAAAGCAGGCAATTTACCTTGTTCAGCATTCCTTAATGAATTGGTTTAGCTAGTTAACACACAGCTACCATAGAATCTCTTTAACCATGTGATGCTCCTTTATTTTCTGTAATTCCAAAATTTGTATTTGTATTTTGTTAAAACCTTTGAACAGTTTCACACATCGTATGTAGTATACCTTTTTTCAATGGCCAGACCATCAGTACCAGGCACCATAGGTTTAATAACTGGTTGGATGCTGATGTTTGAAATATTTGACATATCTTTTGATATTTTCCAAATCTGCTGACTGTAGTTGCTGGTAGGGCCTGCACTGACACAGCAAATTGAGTCATGGCCATAGGTACTGCTGCCTCCTGGGAGTGCCTCCCTTCTTCTGGGAGGCATCTGAAGAAGTGAGGTTCTTACCCACGAAAGCTTATGCTCCCAATACTTCTGTTAGTCTCAAAGGTGCCACAGGACCCTCTGTTGCTCCCTTCTTCTGGTTTACTACTTAGGCTGGAGAGATAGTATGTGCCATTCAGGCTCTGAAATGCTTCCACTGAAGAGGTAAATCGCAGTGTTGGACTAGAAACAACCACAGACAGCTTCTAGAACAGCTTTGCGTGCTCTAGACTAGACCAGTTTAACACTTAAATGTGTGTGGCAGGAGCCCACACCCTCCCATGTAATTGATCCATCTCCTCTCAGTAACTGATTGCATTTTAAAGCCCCTGTTGCTGTTGTACATAGACCCCCTATACAAATCTAAAGGAATCAATTCCACCCTAAAGGACAATTTTCTCAGTTTCCCTATAGTGCCTGAAACTAATGGTAGCCAGTCTTGGGGTGGGAAGGGAGGAATCAAGCTCAGCAAAGTGCTCCTGCTTAGCCTTATCAGTGGCAGTCAGCTCTTTACTAACCCAAAGCTAATACCTGTTCAGCATACCAAATTCCAGATAGGCAGCCCTGTTCTGCTTAACTACATTAACACACTACCACCTCTCCTAGAAGGCCACTCCCTTTGTAATATCTTTTCTAAATTCTCCTTCCATGTGTTCCCTCTTTACTTATAGCTGTAGCTCCTAGTTGTAGTCTGTCTAAAAGTGATTACTTTCTAATTCCCTTACTAATTCAGTGAAACTGTTGACCAAAAGGGAGAAGCTCATGAGTGTAGGAGACAGAACTTTCACAGGAGCTAGCCTCAGACTAAACTCACTCCCAGAAGAACTAAGAAGAGCTCTGTTTTGAACACATCACATACAAAACCCATGGCTGTGACCTCATGTTCCTTCAAGAAATTCTATACGTCACCACTCACCTCTACATTCCAAAAATAATCAAGCTATTTCTCCTATAGGTTGAGGGGTGGGGGAGGGGGAAGAACACATCCTGTTTGTTATAGTGATAGTACCAATACAAGAACCTGGATTGATTTGTTTTTGAAATATGTGGGAGGAGCTCAACTACTACAATGATGGAGCCATATAAGTACCTAGACAGTTTATTCTATATGCCTGCAATGATGTCTAGCCTGCATCTCGTCCCACCCCTTCTTTACCTGGCATCGGGAGCAGTGTTGGGGTTCTTGGAAAGATTCTCCTTGTAGAAGCGCATTGAGGGCACAATAGATGAAGTTACCCAATAAATCATCACATTGGTCAAAAGGTCATCCATAGAGAATTTCCTATTGAGGGATAAACCAGAGAAGCATCACTGTCACAGGGGCTACTTTCTGCACATTATCAGGTACATGCCCTGAAGAGTGGACAGCATATCTGTTCTCCACTCATCACTTGGCCCTAAGCTAAGCTGTAGAGCACTGAGCGTTGGTGCAGTAGTGCTGCAGTCAGTCCATTACAATTCTAAACTGCAAATTGCCTTGTGTATGTTCCCTTGCCCTCTACTAAATTTACTCTCAGTGGTGGATTGTCTCACCTCCCCTATTGTTGTGAGCAGCCTTCCTTTAGTTACATTTCTCCCTCACACCCATTCATTGGCATGCCATTGTTCCATACCTCTCCAGACCTCCATTGTCCATGTCCCGGAATGATCTATCGGTCCAGGTAGAGAACTTCTCCAGAATGTATGCAGCAAGTCCAATGGGGGAGTCGTTTAGTCCACTGCCTAATTCAGGAAAGCAACAGAAGAGCTCTCAGGTTCACATGGCACTGTATTACCTCCACTAAGGATAAACTGGACTTCCAGAAAGTCTCCCAGAGGGATCAAGCAGAGACTCTGGATACTACCCATCTTTGTGCTATTCCATTTGGGACAGTTTAGTACTGGCAGAGCCCAGATTGTCATTCTCAGACCCCCTAGTTTTTTAATGCAGAGAAAAGCCAAGAACTAGGACAGTCATGATGGTGGCAGTAATGGCACGATGGGCAAGTGTCCAAAGGAACTACACTTTAAAGGAGGCAGGAAGTGGGGATAGCATTCCCAAAAAATCGGTGTGAATAGAACAGGTCAGCAGGTTCTAAGTGCCCTTAGTCAGTGTTTATGAAGGTGGAAGGGTAAGAATGCTGTGCACCCACTATCCTTTTCTTACCCATGCTTTGTGAACCAAAATATAATAAATGCAGCATTTATATAGCATATTATCTGTTCATCTGGTGGGATAGGGAAGTATTTTACAGTTAAGGAAACAGTCAAATGGAGATACAGTGACTTGCTGAAAGCCATTTGTAAGATTGTTAGAACTTGACTAGAACTCTGGAGTTCCTGGTTCCTAGTCCTTTGCTCAGTCCATATTGCTTCTCAAACATTCTAGGCCTTTGTCCAGATCTGACAGGTATCTCATGGACCACATGTGTCTATTATACGAACTCCACAGTCATGTGGAGACTGTACTCTACCTGCTGTGTCTGGCTTGGTGGCCTGGATGTGCAAATACCCGGTCTCCCGCAGAAGTTCATACACGTTCTTCTCCAAGTATGGGTATAAGCGGCGGGCGTCTTCCCTGGTGAGGCCCACCAGCCATGGCACATAAGCCCCCAGCAGTAAAGACACCAGCCTCCCCAAACCTCCTGAGGTGATGAAGACTAAATTCAGATGAAGCCCTTTCACGGACCTGGAACCAATGGTATTGAGGAATATAATAAGAATCAGCAATATGGATTAACAACAACAACAGAGAACAAAAGGGATCTTGTCTCCAGGTTCCCTCTGAAATACAGAGCTGTGCTAGGACAGCAACACTGCACTAGGCCCATTGGTACTTCCAGAAGAATGTCTTTCTCCTAACCATACATAGCTGTTCAGGCACGTGTATTCACAATTCCCTTACGTGAAGACATGTAGCAAATAGACTAGAGATAGCGTAGCTGATACAAGCACCAGCACAGCTGTGTTGGGGAGGACAGAATAACTACAGCAGTCTTAGACTCCCATTTGACTTGGCATGGCACAGCCATCACTGTGGCTTGGGTTGTTCTCCTCAGAGCCTCATTTTGAACCCTAGATAATGAGGACTTCATTGTGCATTTTCTGAGAAGCCTGTGGTGAACCACACATGACTCTAAAGCTGCCAGAGACTCCCTGCCCTGGATGCTAGCTGCACCTCACAGTCCTCCTCCTACATGGGGCCAGATCCTCAAAAGTATTTAGGTGCCAGACTCCCATTGAAATCACTGGGAGTTGTGAGCCTCAATACTTTTAAGGATCTGGGCCATGATGACTAACTCCTTTAGTGTCTTCTTCCTTGATTTGGTCTCCTTTCACCTATGGAGCTAACATGGAGCACGTGCTTTACAACAACTCACTGTCTAAGGCTGTGTCTACATTGCACTTTTGTCAGTAAAACTTTTGTTGATCAGAGGTGTGGTTTTATTTTGCCAGCAAGAGAACTCTCTCCTGCCGGCAAAGAACAGCTACACGGGAGACCTTATAGTGGCACAGCTGTGCAGCTGTAAGATACGTAGTGTGGACATAGCCTAACATTTAACTTCCTCTTCTAAGAGCAGCCTCATGTTTCTCCTCCACCCAGATGTTCTAAACTTGCATTTTAGGCGGGGAAGGAATGTATATTTCATGCTACCATTTAACCTCTCAAAAGGTTTCTCAACCAGATTTGAATCTCCTCATTACCTCTCCTTTCTGATTTGGAAGAGAGATCACCGGGTGGGCCTATTCTAAGCCTTAAGGCTGCGTTGGAGAATGGAATGGAGAGAGCACAGTTCACATTCACAGCTGACTCAAAGCTGGGAGTGATCATAGAATATCAGGTTGGAAGGGACCTCAGGAGGTCATCTAGTCCAATCCCCTGCTCAAAGCAGGGCCAATCCCCAACTAAATCATCCCAGCCAGGGCTTTGTCAAGCCTGACTTTAAAAACCTCTAAGGAAGGAGATTCCACCACCTCCCTAGGTAACCCATTCCATCACAAATACTTTAGATAAGGTTGAAATATGAATGCAATAGAACAAGCTTGAGAAATGGGCTGAGATCTATGAAACGGGAATGAATAAAGATGAATGCAAAGAAGGGGGTATATGTAAGAGGGAATAATCCAATGCACAAAACCAGAATGGAAAAGAGGAGCTAGGCAGCGGCAAAGCATCCCCAAGAATGATCTGGATTTGGGGGGGTAGAGTGCAGGATAAACTCAACAGGAGTCAGCTATGCATTGTTGCCTGTACTGATTTGTATTATCAGGATGGCTGTGTAGATTAGCCGTGAAGCCAGAGCTGTAGCCTTACATTCAGCTTGGGCCCTCACTGTGGCAAACATTTTTAAAAAATGGCCACTAATTTTGGGTGTCAAACTTGAGGTATCCAAAAACTGGGACACTCGACATTAATGGCCATTTAAAAAAATGTGGATCTATGCTATTTCTTTTTTAAAAAGGACACTAACTCTATGGAGAGAGTCCAAGTGACAGCAACATACATAGGAAAAAATATGGACAAATCAGAGGAAAGAAGAGTGCTTTACTCAAGATGAAACAACTCTACAAATGCAAAGGGGACTGGGACCAATTCTCAATCAGCTTCACAGATTCCAGTTATGGTGCTTGTTTTGGGGTCAGTTTACATCCTAGGATCTCTCTACTAATTATGTATTATGGTAGGTCAGGAACCATGTTCCAACTCTAGCTAAGGAAAGCTTAGACCCCCTTACGGGATTGTAGCTTTGCTTCTTGCTCTAGAATCCAGACTACTGCCTACCAGCGATGCAGAAAAGTCAAGAGAAATAGTTTCAGAATCCTCCTGACTCCTGGTCACCTGGAGACTGCTCGTCAGCTATATTTTGGTAAAGCTTCTCTGGGCTAGGGCTGTTCAAACAAGAGCTGTACAGATAACTTGGCAGAAGTCCGAGGACTGATGTTAATCCCTATCCGTTGGAGAAGATGGCAAGCATCTGAATCCTTAATACAAGGGTGCGGCTTGCAGAGGTGACAGCTCACAGAATGTAATGCTCCAACTGAGTTGCCTGACTGCTTGCTGGGATGTGTAGTCTGCATGCACCTCAACTCTGTGTTAAAGAGGAGCGTGATCAGCATTCACACTCTGGTCATCACTGTTCTGAATACTGCCAAACCCAAACATTCCAAAATCTGGAGCCAGGCCCTACAAACCATGAGATTTTTTTAAAATCAGTATATTATGGGTTCTTTCCATTTTCCTTTTGATTTTTAAGCATTTAGGGTTCATATTTTTCAGTTCTCTCCAACTACAAGGACTAGAAATGTTCTTTTATTTTTTAAATGGATGATGAGATTCTTATGTAGCCACGTGACTTCAGGAGCTGGGGAGCAAGATTCCAAATATCACAAGACTAGGGATAAAACTACCAGAGTTGGCAACAATGTGTCCTGAGTACAAGGGGGAGGGCAGGGAGTGTCATAGGAACCAGAACAGACAACTATCCCTCTCCTAACCCCCTTTGCCACTCACTTTGGCAGCATCTGGGCCATGTTTACGGTGATCCGAGAGCCCCAATCTCCCCCCTGTACATAGAACTCCTGGAAACCCAGTCTCTGCATCAGCTTGTGAAATATCCGAGCAGCAGCCAGCGTGTCAAAACCTGTGCATAAGGAGAAACCTATTATTAAACACCTGTTCTCCCTCAGTGAAGAATCACTGATACCACCGGGGACACAGGTCAATGTTCTGTTGGGTATTGCCTAATACTAGTCCTCTGGATCACAGTGAAGGGAGACGTGGCGATTGGAAGGCTTCCAATTACCTCTACATTCCTAAACTCCACACCCACCCCTAGAGCTTTGTGACCTCAGCCCTATGGACCTTCCCAATATCACTGCAAAAGACTAACTCTTCTCTGGCAGATGGAGTTGACCCATTATCACAAAGCAGTTAGCACACTGGGGTTAAAAGGCCAAGAAATGAGTGCATTGCAACCATTTCAGTGTCCCATGGGGAAGACAAGCACTGAAAGCACCAGAAGCCTAGAATAAAGCAGATACCAGCTGCCTTCATCCTAGTATGGAGAGATTGGGTCCCAGACTGTAGACAGCCAGGTCTCTTGGATCATCATTAAGAAGCACTGTAAGGGTGCAGGGTGCTTTCCCAGATACAACATAGGGCACAGACTCTCCTTCCCTCTTCACTTCTGCCTTCTCCACCTTGCAGTTCATCCAAATTAATCTTTCTCCCCATACCTGCACCCTCCATCCTCAAATCCCTTCACTGGCTTCCACTTAGTCTCCAGCATCAAGTTCACATCCTTGCTCTTCCCATTTAAAGCTTTGCTGTCTCCAGCCCCTCCCCCCCCATTTCCCCTTCTTCCACTCCCTATTCTCTGTTCCTGTTGCCTCCTTCACTCATCCTGCATCTTCTCTCAGGACACCTTATGGGCCTGTAACAGCCTCCCAATTAAGGTTCCCAGCGCCTTCCCTTATCTCCTCCAACCACCACTGGAACACCCCCCCCCCCCGATCCATGAAGTGTCCTGGCTCTAATGACCACCCATCTCACATTGCCCCATGGTCTATTGCACCCCTATTCCTTTGGGGAAGGGATCTGTTAGGTATACATCACCCCATTGTACAGCATGGTGTTCACTTATTGTGCTACATACATCAGAAAGAGCTGGCACAGAAGAGGACTTGCTGGCTCAGGGGGGTCACAGAATAGGATACAGAGTCTTTCACTTCTAGGACCCTGGTTCCTTACTGGTTCCAGGCTGGGGGGACTGGCGGGGGTGTCTCAGGGAAGTGGTAAATGGACTATGGAGCCTATTGTCTATGGGGCATCAGTTCCACTTCAGCCCAAGGTTGGGGTGACTGGCTGTCTTGGGGTGTGTGTGTAGAAAATAAGATATGGAGCCTTTTACCAGGGCAATAATTACCTGGCTCACAAGACTAGGGCACAAAGCCTTTCACTTTCAGGGCATTTAGTGGACTGTGTGACTTGAGCTGCAAGTCCGAGTCCAGTTCCCGCTGGACACGTCAACAACACAATCATCGTCATAAATGCCCCCTCCCCTCCAGCCCAGCAGAGACACCAAGGACTGACCAGTTTCTGGAGCATGAATTGCCCTCTCATATTTAGGTGTGATCCCTAGAGGTCAGGGGAGGCAGGTTGAGAGAAGTCTGCCCTGACCTTGCCCCTGCTGTACCTGTTCTGTGGATACCAGTCTCTAGGGCCATCAATCCATCACCAGATTTGCTTTATTAAAAGAGCAGGTGAAGAACCCAACTCCCAATGTTCAGAATTTAACCCATGGTTCCAGGGTTGTCTCCCAGATGCTATTCCAGAAAGCACTGGGATTCTAATTAACTCCCTCCTGCCCATCACTCACCTCGTTGGTGAGGTGCCTCGGAGAAGCCATAGCCTGGGATGGATGGACAGATGACCTCAAACACCACATCCTCATTCAGGCCGTGCCCAGCTGGGTCAGTGAGCAGTGGGATGATCTTATAGAACTCATAGAAGGAGCCAGGCCAGCCATGCACCATCAACAAAGGCCTGGCTGCCTGACCCTTGGGGATGCCAGGGGGCTTCACATGGACAAAATGGACTTCAATCCCTGCCACAAACCCAAGAGAAACAAGTTAATGCTTCAGTTGCTTCTCAGCTCCTGGCCTAGACCCTAAAGGAGAGAGGCAAATTCCTAGCCAGTGTTCACGGCAGAGCCACACAGAGACCCACAGCAGAGAGGGGAAGCTGCTCAGTTGGAGCTGGGAGGGGGACGCCCTGTACCCCTTTGGGTTTATGTTTGCTCCTTTGCGGAGGAGGAATAACGCCACAGTGAGAGAGGCCCAGACCCCAGCAACTGTGTCTGTTGGGAAAGGAGTCCTCAATTTGTCCTTCTGAAGCTGATTCCTGTGAGGTGGTGACCCTAGCAGACAATGGATGCCTTGGATACCTCAGCCTGCTTTACTGTATCTCAGTGCAATGGAGGGGTGATTCATGAGAGAGGGGACAGGGCAATGGGGCAGCTAGACAAAGGAAATAGAGGGAACTTATTAGGAGCACCAGGGCCGCTAGGGGAGCAATAGGTGGGTGCTCCGTGGAGGAAGAGGCACCAGGACCTCTGGAGGAGCCAAAGGGAGCATTCAGGGGCAGCTGAGACTCACCTTCAATAGTTGTTTTGAAATGTGGATATTGGTTCACAATTTCCAGCTGCTTCTGCCAGTCAAACTGGTTCCTCCAATAGGCAACAACTTTCTGCAGGTAGGTGGAGTTGAAACCATACTGGAAGGCGACTCCCTCAAGTGGCGGTGTGTAGCGGGCCTGGTCCAGGCGCTGGTGCAGTTCCTGCAGAGGGAGAGTTCCCACACTGCTCCATCCCAGGCCAGGCTCACAGGGGCTGCTCTCAGTGCCCATTACCCGCTGGAGGAGATGTTCTAACAGGGGAGCCAAGGATAAAGTCTCCTGCCTGCCCAGGGCCTTAAAGAGGCAGCTCTGCTTTCTATATCACTATCTGGGGCCCAAAGGACACTGTCCAGGCAGCCACATGCCACACAGGGCCTCCTAGATCAGGTATATAGTGAAAATATGTTTTGTATGTTATTGGTTAGAACCGGGAACTAGGGACTGAACTCCTGGGTTCTACTGCTGGCTCTGCCTCTGACTTGCTATGTCACCTTGGTCAAATCACTTCCCTTCTGTGTCTCAGTTTCTCTGTCTATACAGTGAGGTAATCCTACTGACCTAATGCAGATTAGGGGCTGGGAGGCTGTTAATAACTGTAAAGGGCTTTGAGCTCCTTGGAGGAAAGGTGGGTAGAGGAGGCTGCTGCGTGGAAGTGCCAGGTTCTAGTCTAATAGCATTCTCCTAGAGAGCCTAAAGCATCCTGCTCGGTGAAACACCTGGGTTTCACCCTCTCTTTTTACCATGGTGCTGGGTTATGAGCCCTGGGAGCTGAAGGCGTCTTTTTATCCATAATATGGATCTGGCATGGAACCCCGTACTGCCCCTGCAAATGTGCCTCACCCCTGCCCTAGAGGGACAGTCTCCAAGGCCTGTTCAGTCCTTGCAGCCTGAGCAGAAACACCAAACAACAGAGATAACTGGTGCCAGATGCAGGGTGGTTTTGTGATCTGGCCACTCAACATGAGCAGCTCCTCAATCAAATCAAATGACAGCAGCTTTCAATCACTACTGACAGGGACTGGAGTGGAACTGGTGACCTAAAGGTGAAACTCTCCATTGCTCAATCCTAGTTACCTGCCCTGCCCACTACTAGTAAATTAGAGTCTTAGTGATAGGCCTAGTCTGCACTTTCCCATAATAGTTCTGCCAGTGCTCCTCACCCCCGACCTGCAGCCCCCCACTATCCCAGTGCTGGATTCCCCACACACAGCTCAGCTGATGCCCTCAATCCTGACCTGCAGCCCCTTGCTATTCCTAAACCCATACAGACAGCTCTACCATTCAATACATCTCAGTCTCCACCAGCAGCAGCAGCAGCCTCTGCTGTTTCAGGCATAGGCCTCTCAGCAGAAACTGTCTTGGACTCTGTGGAGATTTTGATCAACTTCCCTTAGACTGGGGCTCAGAAAACTCAGTTATTTTGTGATCTATTTGGAGTAGAACTCAAGTGTGGAGGGATGGATAGCCAATACATTGTCCCATGGTGCCAGACTGCTGTGCTGGAGTATTCAAGTACAATGCTAAGGTCACTAGGCCATCACCTTGAAGCAGTTAGATGGATCTGACTGGCTAACTCTACCTCTCTGCTTTCTACTCTCCACCAGCTGCCCCTCCCTGGATACCTCTCCCAGTTCCCTATTTCTCAGTCAGTGATACCTGAATTTCCCTGTCAGAGGTTTCAATTTGGAAGGATCGGATCCGCTCATCTTCTTTCTCTCTTGGGGGCCTCTCGCCTGAGCCCCACCATCCATCTCCCATTTCTAGAGTCTTGATCTTCCGTCTAGACAGGAGCCAACAAACCAGGAGCCCTCCAGCTCCCAGAGCAGCAGGGGCCAGAATTATACTCCTCCAGGGATATTTAAAGGACCTAGGAAGACACAAGATGCTTGCATTCAGGAACAAAAGCTTCAAGACACTGAGACTGCACCAAGACCCATATACATACATGGTGAGTTTGGGAGGGGATGAGCACCCACAACTCCTATGAAGTCAACAGGGGCCATGAGTTCCCATCACCTCAGGAGATCAGGCCCTAGGTGTCGCTCCCAAGTTGGGGACACCCAGAATGAGTGGCCAGCTCTGAAGATGTTGGCCTAAGAGCCTGGAATCAGGTTAGAAACAGAACAACAATTTCAATAAGAGCTGAACTGAACTGCACCAGCTGATTATAGATTATATCTGTCACCTTTTGAATCACAGACTGAAACTCATCTGTGTATACATGCTTGCTTGCTTGAACCTGTAAATAACTCTAATTTCTTTTTCCCAGTGAATAAACCTTTAGTTAGTTTATTACAGGATTTGCTACAAGCGTTGTCTTTGGTGAGATATCTAAGGTACAGATTGATCTGGGGTAAGTGACCGGTCTTTGGGCACTGGAAAGACCCTGAATATTTTGTGATTTTTGACTGACCATTTATCACTAAGTCCAGCTTGCCTGGGTGGCAAGATAGACTGCAGAGCCCAAGGGCACTGTCTATGACTCCATAGTAAGACTGGTGTAGTGATCTAGGAGTTCAAATTGGTTACTCAGTTGATGAAATCTAATTACAGAACATGTCACCAGTTTGGAGCATCTACCTGGTTTTGACAGTCTGCCCTGAGGTCGGCCACTCCAGACAGCGTGACAAGGGCCATCTCTGTCTGCTGCCCCCATTCCTTCCCCAGGGCTGTCACTCTCTAGGGCCCATACTCACCATGACACTGGCCCTATATCATATTGCAATATGGTGATGTAAACTCAGGCTTATCTAGGAAAGTGTCACGTAATCAGGGCAGGCACCAGCAAATATGAGGTATCATTTAAAGCCATTCAATCATCCCTCAGCTATGTGGTCTCCCCCTCCAAGCCTTGCTCCAGCTCTTCTGCCAGCTGTGGGAATAGTGATGTGTCTAGACCTGGCGTGGGGGATTGTGGAGGAAGTTAGGAGGGTCAGGAAAGGAGATTTGTGGAGACACAAAGAGTGTGAGGGGCTGCCCTGTGCCTAGCCAGGGCAGTGAAAAATGGGGAGACAGCTGCATTTGCTCCCGCTCCCACTCCACCCACACGATCTGGAACAGAAACAGCTCTTGGTGGGCTAGGGTTGCCACCTCTGAGGTGCAAAAAAAAAAGGGAGATCCTGCTGATCCTGAGCCAATAAAACTGGCCAGCTGGCAGTGTGACCGGAGCACCCCGACAGATCTCCCAGGACAACTACCGCAAAAAAAGGACGATCCTGGGAAAACCTAGACGGGTGGCAACCTGAGTTACTGGAGACCCCGCGGCTGAAATGGGGCAACATTCTCTGAAACAACCCCAGTCAAGTTGCTGAGCAGGAGGCTCCTATCAGTTCTGCCTGCCAAGAGGGAGCAGGGCTCCTGAGAACAAAAAGCCTAAGCCGCCCCCTTCATGGTGCTTTCCAGGCACTGAGCAGTTTACGCAACAGGTAATCGAATCCCCGTGCACTTAAATCCCAGAGGTTTAGCTGCTTGGAGGCCTGAAATACAGAGTATCATGGCAGGTTATGGCACCAATTCAGCGCTGAGCAGCTTTAACCCTGCTAATCCGCATCAAGTGGCTCAGATCAGCAGCCCCTTGACTGCCCCAAAGCAGAGTTCACTAGCAAAGATTTCTCAGTCCAAATGGAATGGCTACATTGGGTAGTGTTCCATTCCCAGCATTAGATTAGTGCTGGAGCTTGGACTAAGGGCCCTGGTGGACTTCACCCCTCTGCCATGATTCTGGATGACTAACAGCACAACCCCATAGCACTCGCCCCCAAAGAGCTCTCCTGCACCTGCTGCACTCACCGGACACTCTGAAGGATTTGCTGCCACATGTCTGTACAGGTGCCTGTGACTTGCAGTTCAGTTCAGCCCAACTCTAGTGCTGGACTTAGAAACTCACGGGCCCCAACTGCAGCTACCGCCTTCTCTGTTTTCTCCGTGACGATGCAAACGACCTATATATAGTCTACTAGTGCCACCTGTTGCCTTAGTGTGGAATTGCAGATGGCCCAGTCACCTGGGCACCTCTCCAATTCATCTGTAGTTTTGGATGAGACAAAAAAGTGAGACCTCGTCCTAAGCATCAGGGTGTTCTAGCTGCATTCTAGCCTAGGGAATCATATTTTGCCTCCCTAACATTCCAGTGCAGTCTCATTTGGATAAAGGATTCTCCTTCACTTCCTGTCCTAAACTGCCTTGTAGTACCATTAGTGCAGAATGGCTGCTGTATTTCACCCCTGAGATGCTGACACTTCATTGATGGAGGAAGAAATTTTCTGTGTCTATGCAGTGTTCCAGGTGAAATGGAACAATTAATAGATTTCAAGACCAGAAGAAACAATTGTGATCATCTAGTCTGACCTCCTGTGTAACACAGGCCAAAGACTTTCCCTGAAATAATTCATGTTTGAACTAGAGCATGTTTTTTAGAAAAACAACAATCATTGAGATCCTTGGTGCTGAAGTCCCATTTGCTGAGAGAGTCTCTCTGCATTTTCAGGGCAGCCTGCACCTCTGGCAGTGGGAGGAAAATGGGTTCCCTAGGCCTTTCAGAGCCTGGCATTTGGATTCATAAGCAGAGACTGGATTAAGAAATCAAGTGAATGAGGAGCAACAGAATGAAGAATTAGAACCCAACCACGTGGAAGGCAGCTGGGAAATCCTGTAAGAATGCTAATTAAAGTGCAACGGACTGTGATCTCTCTGAAATGAAGGAGAGCCTAGGGGACACCTTACACTGGGAAATCTTTATTATTTCTTTCTTAGCAGTAAATACAAGTGAAGTGGCCTGTGCAGTTAGATGAGGAAGTGGCTCAAAGATCCCAAGGTAAAATCCTCTGTATGAGGAATGCTGGAAAGGAACCAACATAGATAGTTAAGGCTCCAAAGAGAAAGATAAGGGCTGAATGAGTTACTCCTGGCAAAGGAGAATCAGATGGACTTTAGCTAAGATATAAGGGGAGACAGTTTGGGGCCATTAATAAAAAGGAGGCAAGGGGAGATAAATAAATGATGATCCTGGTATGGTTGAGACTGCATTTTAAATAGGGGTCTAAAGCATTGAAGTTTCGTCTGTGAGGAACTGAGGAAGCCCTGAAGGAAAAGAGAGTGCAAGGGAATCCTGGGAAATCGTCTGCTCTTGGACTGCTGCAGTTATCTTTCTACCCAGTAAACAAGAATACTTTTCTGTTATATTGCTACCTCTAGTGGCCAAAATGCAGAACATTTGGCAGGAGTAGCTATAGCTGAATTCAACAAGACTTTCATATCATTTTAATGTGAGTCCTAAGTCCACGCATTTTCTCAGGGAGATATCTGGTCTGAACTACAAAACTCTTTACTATCTACTTGATTCCCCCTTTTCTCAATACATCTGAAACGAGCAGAGTTGACCACATGGAATATGCTGATTTTCCTCCAGACACGCTGCAAATTAAATCAGCTGCTGGCAGCTCTCTCACACTTTTACCCTAGAGTTTTACTGCTGACCTGCCCTTCTAAAAATGGCAACGCTACTGTTCTGTACAGTTGTGGGTTCCAACACTGTCAGTTGTAGTGCTTGCTTAGATTACTGCAGAATACCCCCATCGTAGGAGGGAAAGCACCCTGGAGTTTGAATGATGAACATTTAACAAGACAATCTGTCTCGATTCAGAACAGAATTAAATTAAGCAGTATCAAACTTGTAATCTTAAATACACGTTGCAAACATTAACAGATTCATCCTGAGAACATGCCAAGGAAATGGATAAAGGATTATTTTCCTCCCCTGCTTACAAATGGGAAACTTTCCCTAGCCATGGTTGCAGCAGGTTCTAGCACCTGAGAACCAGGAACTAACAGGAAATTGACAAGATTTTAAAGCAAAACTGACGCCTCTCCAATTTCATTGTCCAAACTGAGTGAAAGGCAGAATGCAAACAAGCAGTATCAATAAGGAAAAGTCATGTTTATCTTTACAATTATTTCAGTCCTCTCAGGAGTCATTAGTGACATAAGGAAGGACAGGATGGGTGGCTATTAACAGAATGGCTTTGCAGTTTCTCATTAATGTCACTGCTTTTCATTAATGAGAGGTGCAGAATTTGTCCCATTTTGTTGCCCTTAAGTTTGATTCCCAGGCACAATACTTGTCCTGGAGCAAAGAGAAGAGAATTCAGTCTCCATTCTACCTAGGGCATACAGACAGGTACATACATACATACATTCTTAGGACAATATTCCACCCAGGAGCTGTAAGAGGAACTCAAGAGAAGCCCTGGAGCTCTTACTCCCTTCCCAGTCTGGTCTCTAAGGAGATCAAAAAACACGAGTATTATTAAAGCCATATCTGATCGGATGGAACGTGTAGGGCGGTGGACAGGGAATTAACTCACCCAGTGCTCATTAACAAAAATACAAATTCCCCACTCACCCTGCTGACATTCCCCAAGCGGCTCTGACTACTTTAGCTGTGGGATTCATTATCTTCATAGCAAGCAGGCTTCTACTAACAATGCTTTCTTTTGTACAGCTGTTTGCTGTGCCTATCCGGCGTGCAGCAAAGTGAGGAGCAGGACCTACTGCTCCATGACTTTGCTGAGCTTCCCCGGCCCAGCTGCTTTTAGATCGTTCAGAAAAAAAAGGTGGCAAAGAAATTTGCCCTAATGCACTTCAGTCTAGCAGATATAACTCCCAGGCTTGAGAGATGCTGGCAGCCTGCAGCCGCTGCACAGCCAGCATCTATTATAGGGGATTGCAAACCTTTTAAGGGCATGACCCATATTTTAATAGAGAGAGAGTTTCTTGGACATCTCCCCTCCCCTTTGCCATTGCACTTTGCTCCTGATGATCATTGCATATCACCCCTATAATGACTATAGCAAACGCTCTCATGGCAAAGTAATAGTAAGCATTTGAGTGTATTTTAGCTCCAGTTTAGCACCTGGAAACAAGCAGAAGCCGTCACAGCGTAACCTGCCAGCTCACTACACACTAGCAGCAAGGGCTCCACAGATCAAAGTCTGAGCACCTGCCGCTTGAAAAGGCACCTGGACATACCTTGAGTTTGAAAGGATCTCTCCAGTGCTCAATTTGTAATGAAAGAGGTGCTGGGCTCAAGCAATTTTTTTACATTAATAACTGATGCAGCAAACCCAGAGGTGCCAGGGCTATGAACTGACAAGCCCAGAGGTGCTGCGGCTCAGCTCTGGCACAAATTAAGCACCGGATCTCTCTATAAAACTAACTCCTATGCTATGGGCCAAAAGCAGCACTCCTTGTTATTTTTGCTGACACAGACTAACACGGCTACCACTCTGAAACCTGCAATAATTTTGTGTGTATTGGGTTCCCTCTGGTGGACATAAGGAGTTCATAGCATCAGTGATAACAGTACTTTCCGCCATTCTAGCACCTTCATCAAAGGATCTCAAAGGCCTTTACACACGTCAATGACTTAAGCCTCACAAGTTAGTATCCTTATGCCTTATCCCTGTTTTACAGAGAAAAGAAAACTGAGACAGTGAGAGGGAAACTGGCGACTTATTCATGGTTCCCAGTGAGTCAGTGACAGAGCTGACACTAGAGCCCAAGAGTCCTGACTCTCAGTCTTGTGCTTTTGTATCTTGGGGTAGGGGTAGACGGTAACTTGTAAAACCTAAAACAACCATTGTGATCTTCAGAGTCACTGTGAGCCTCTGGCTTGAGTTTGTGGAGGTGACTGTAATGCTTGGCCCTTCTCCTTAGGCCAAGACTATAACAGGGTTCAAAAAAGAACCAGATAAATTCACGGAGGATAGGTCCATCAATGGCTATTAGCCAGGATGGGCAGGGATGATGTCCGTAGCCTCTGTTTGCCAGAAGCTGGGAATGGGCGACGGGATGGATCACTTGATGATTACCAGTTCTGTACATTCCCTCAGGGGCACCTGGCATTGGCCACTGTTGGAAGACGGGATACTTGGCTAGATGGACCATTGGTCTGACCCAGCATGGCTGTTCTTATGATTGTAAGGGAAGTGTAGCCCTGGTCACACCGACCTTGGTTAATAGTCCCTCTTTCAGAGGAACTAAGTCAGCTTCAGCATCTCAGAGAATCTCACTAAGGGAACAAATATCTCAGTGTGTAACAATGTTGCAAGGAGCCCTCCTTACTCATTGACGTTCTGGGGACCAGGCTATCACCTCTTCATGTGGACACCTCATAGCTTGCTGGCTAGAACATACTTGTGCTGTATTGGGTGCTGTCCTGCGTGTTCTGGCAGTTTCCTGGGAGCTTCCTTATCTGGGCTTCTATATGCCTCCACTAACTTCAAAAGCTCTGTGGGCTATCCAGAGCTGATCACCAGAGAGGGCTGGGAAGCATTTCCTCACCCTCTAGGGCTGAATCTGTTGGTCATCTCCCAGTTGCTTTGAAGGACCAAATCCATCCTAGAGATAATTATAAGGAGACTGGATGAGGGTCTGACAGGAAGTTCATCTTCTAGATATGCCCTGTATACACCATTGCCCAGAAATGGCCTCGCACAGGAAAAATCCACATATCACATGTTCACCTTTTAATAGCACTAAGGGCCTCTGCACAATGCATTTCCCGGGGACTGGTGGCTCTGTCTTGGGCCATCATTTCTTCTCAGGGGGGCACAAATCCCAAGAAAATGCTCCACAACTAATTTGTTATTGCTTAAATCAAACCAAGAACTCTCATCCCTCTTGCACCGAACATGTGGCTGAGCAGAGAGTCTGTGGCCTCTGGTTGGGTCCTGGAGCCCAAGGAAGAGCTCTACCCATGCCCCAATACCCATAAACAATGGGCAGGAAAAGATGCCCCCTTCCCAAAGGAAACAGTGGCCTCAGCTGGTCTAGAGGAGATTTGTTTTGCCCCGAAATCTGCCCCAAGCATGAATGGCGGCCTCTGTACTCAGCCTTGATTATTATATCTCGGTAAGAAATGCTGAACTCCTAAGCGCTTCCGAGCCG